CTGCTTCTGCATAATTTGCATATATTAAGTTATATACCTTAATGCCAGATGAATTTGTAGCTTCAGCATTGTTTTTACACAGTAAAGTCTAATTTGATTATAAACTAGTGTACATGTTGCTTTTGAGTTAAAAGCAGCCAAAACATTTTTAAAAAATCTCCTTGGAGAATGGCAACCTAATTCCACATGTAGGATTGGAGAGCCAATTATTAAAATATTTTTTTCTATAAAATAAGTGAATTACAAAAGCTTGAGTTGTTTTGCCATTAGGAAGTGCTGATTGTCATGCGATGTGGAACATCATTTTTATTATTTTGGCAAGAACAGGGACAGTTTTGTCTTGACAAGCCATTAGATGAATACCAGCGTGTGTCACATGAAAAACCACTGATCTTTAACCCAGCTCTGTACTTAACCAAGCCTTGAAAATGAATAGTGAATAAAAGAAGAGCAAAGGCCAGTTTACTGTCATTACAGATTATAGAATCTGTTAACAGCTGCTGAACTGAACCCAGGGAATTACAGGTATTGTTCCGTGAACCAGCTGAAGTCCTAGAGATGCTTGTTAATCTGTGTATATAAATTATACATTTATTTTATATTTGCTTAGGATTTACATTGTTGGAAACATAGCTAGAAAAAAATGAAAATCCTTGAGTACTTTCTCAGTGCACTAAATGCATGCCTTTATCACCAAACCTTATATTTACATATAACCATCTCAATGAGCTTTTCCCTACCCCCCAGTTATGGAATTTATTTTTAAAAAGCAACGTGCTCTTAAAGAAATCAGTACTAAGTATTAAGAAAAGAAAAAGTATGCACTATCTACCCCCAAAAAAGAAACATAAAACCCACAAACATACATGCAAAACAAAATCCTTTGCTTATTTGTTTCTTCAGGTATTCACTGTGCTGATATTTGAACCAATGTGTCACTTTTTTTTTTATGGAGGGGAAAACCTAAACCCACCTCAATACCCAAATACTGAAAAGATCAGTAACATGTTAAACAGTCAGTGGTGGGAATTATTGCTTACAGAGCTAACAAGAAAGAACACACTTTCTTACTCGGCTGGTGGAATTGCATTGTGTCTCCCTATAGTCTTGTTATCCCACACTAAGTGAAATGCAAATTCTTTGCAACTAATTGGATCTCATTGAGGGTACATGCACAGTGTGTAGTTATATGCAAAAAAGGTTTAAAAAAATAAAATTCCTCTGTAATTACAACTTTTAATTATTATCCAAAACATTGGCATCTATTGTATAGGTTTAGAATGTGTGTGTGTGTGTGTGTGTGTGTGTGTGTAACTTTTTCTTACAGATTACTCAAAAACACGAGCTATGAAATGCTCAGTGAGGTGTCAGATCAAAAGTTAGGGGGGACATGTTTATTTACAGCAGTCTATAAATTGGATTTTATTAAAGTCCTGTGAAAATACAGTTTAAATGATAAACATCATAAACAATCACTTCCCAAAGCTGTTTTTTTTTCCTCTAGTTCTCTGGGCTATTTTCACACTGTAAACTGTATACGTGAGCTTTTTTACTTGTGTAAGTGTACTTCTGCTATGTGTTGTGCTGAGGTGGAGGTACTCCCATTCCATATAGTCTTTAATAGCCGGGGTGCCATTTAGACCTAGCTGGTGTGCTCCTTAATTTCCATGGTACATCTTTCACTCTCAGTAGAAGTGGGAAAGCCATCACATAACCTTAGTATTTACAGGTCTTCCGCCTGAAATACATGGAATCAGGGCAGCAGAAAAGCAATTACTGTGGAAGGGATGCTTGCCTCCACTTCCCACTTTTAAATAACTTTGATACAAATGATTCCAAGCAGTTGTTCCATAATCTGCAGACTATATATATAGCCAGTGGACAAACTCAGAAGTCGTTTTTGTGCTTCATAGGTATATTTTTTTAAGTCTCTGGGCTAATTGTTGTGTAATAAAGCTTGTCCACTTGGTAAAGGAGTCTTACAAACTAGTTAAATTTTGTTTGATCAAATCCATTTAGTAGGTGCAGTATCGTATGATACAGATTTGTTGTGGAAAAATGTTTTGAACCTTAGGAAGATATCCCGGTGCTTTTGTGGGTTGTGTCTCAGCAGTAATATGCAGGGACTGGTTCCACTGCAGACCTGTTTTATCTAGAGCCACCTCAGACCTTGAAATCTGAAGCAGCTCAGTTTGCCTACGCTGGGTAGCATTTTGTCAGAAGACTGCTGGCCGAGCAGACCAGATTTGGATGTATTAGCTAGTCAGCCTAATAACCCTGTACAGACCATATTGATTTTCTAGGAAAGAGTTTATGAACTAAATAAACTTGGGGTTGGTGTCTTAATAAACTGCTTCTCTCAGTCTGTCACATTTAGTTACGGAGCTGTGCAGTTTAGGGGGAAAAAAGGCTAATTCTGTTACAGATTGTTCACAGCAGGGTCTCCAAATTAGCCCTTTGTTTTGTAATGCCACCTTGCTTGGGCTCGCTTTGAGCACATTTCTCAGTTTTGCCCTAATGAGTTGCAACACTGATAATGTGGCTGATGATCTTTCATTGATTTCACTATCACTTGCTTGTCTGGTAATTGATCCGTTGCTGAGCCTCTAGTTAATTATATCGGCTTTGACATGGCCCGGTCCACGGGGAATTTCAAGTCTTGCAGAATAACAGTTTTAATAAAAGAGTCTATTACTGCAGGTGCTTGCTGCTGCATGCCAGTTGATTTTTGTGTGTGTGGGGTGTGTGTGTGTGTGTGTGTGTGTGTGTGTGTGTGTGTGTGTGTGTGAGTGTGTGTGTGTGAAAGAGAGAGAGAGAGGAAGAGAGGAAGAGAGAGAGAGAGAGAGAGAGAGAGAGAGAGAGAGAGAGAGAGAGAGAGGTGGTTGGGGGTAGGATACCAGGGAAGGAAGAGTACTGCGGGACTGAAAGAAAGAAGGGGTGGGGGCTGGAAGAAGAGGAAGAGGGAGTGAAGGAGAGAGGAAGGAAGGAGGGGGTAGCGAGACAGCGCAAGAGGCAGGCGAGAGAGAACACGCAGGCAAAGCGATACAACAGAGCCTGAGAGGAGCGAGGAGGAAGCTTGCTATTGACAGTGTCCTTAAGCCTCCCACAAATAACAGCCATTAGTGGGAAGGTCAGGAGCTGAGCAGGCAGCTTGACTGAGGCACTGAGTGCCACTTCAGAAATCAAGAGGCTAGCAAATTTTAGAGGGAGTTTAAGTGGGTAATAGCTAGCTGTAAAGGTACAGTCACTGTTGACAATTGACTCGTAGGGGCTTTGCCTGCCCTACCCCCCTCAAGAATATTTTTATTGACCACAGGTGGACTTAATATATTTTAAGGCAACAATTCTTTGGGTTCTTGTTTGCTTCTTCTCAGATATTGAATTTGCTGCTTTTGAGACTTTTTTGTGCTTAATGGTGGTGAACCGGAGGGAAGTTTAACAGAAAAGCTTTCAGGAGATGTCGGTTGTAGAGGGGAAGGCACATTTGTGTCAACATAGTGTACGTTTTCTCATCTTTTCTCATTGTCCACTAATGACACAGGGCTGCCATTGAAGCTCTTTTCTGTGTCTTTTGTTGTTTCAGAGAGTAAGGTTTATTGTTATTCTTCAGTTAAGAAGGAGCAAGGAGAGTGGTACATTTGTCCTCGATATTTGTAGGTGGTTGAAGATTAATGTTCCTCACACTTTAAGTTTAGGAAGGATGGCTCTTTCCTGCTGACTACTTTTATGAGACGACATGAATTTAGCTTTCCATTTTGAAGTCACTGTTTATGTACAGAGCATTTTGTTCAGTTCTGCTTTTCCATAAATAAGGTAGACAAATACTATCCAATAAAGAGATGTTTTCTTTTTAAAACAGGTTTAATTAAAAATATGACATGCTATTGAAGTTGTGTTTCATCAGGCAGGAAAACGTTACAAAATTTTCCAGAGATCTTAAATAAAAAATGGAGTTTTTATATTCATTACATTTTGCCTGAAATGGGACAGGCTTTTTTTCTTCATCTTTTTCTGTTTTATGATTTGAAAGGATATTGTAGATGCTTCATCCAGAACTTTTAACACAGGAGTTTTTTTCTACTTTAGAGCTTTAAGAAAAGGTACACTTTTTTTCCTTTGCCATTCAGTTTCTTATGACTTAACATCCAGTTGAGTAATTAATGACCTAAGGAACTGGATATTAAATTGTATGTATGTATGTATGTATTTTGCAGATGTTGACTGTGTATCTTCTATGTTCAGAAATTTGCTAGGTTTATTTATTTACTCCTTAGAGTGTAAGGTCACGTCCATGTGTATATTATTTTCTCTAGGAGTTTCTATGTGGTTATTAATAGTCCAGCACATACTACATGACTTCTAGGAGTTAACATTTAGACAACTGAGCCAACTTGACATTCTCTTACAGCTAAATATTTTTCTTTCTTCCAGTGTAACTAGGAAAAAATGTTTAAGCATAGCAATTTACAAATATTAAAGCACAGCCTGATGTCAGATAGTGCATGTTCTACCTGCAAGCATTGTTTTGGGGGAAAATTCCCTGGGAAGGGCCCCAGCTTCTCCACGCCCCATGTGCCGTCTGTGTTCATGGTGCTGCCTGGAGTTGCATGCAGGAGTGTGTATCTACGCGTGTGTCTGGAGAAGGGTGAGTGTAGGGTGTCATTTGGTGCCTGACAGTGGAACCGTGCAGTTGACTCTTAGCTCTGCTATCCAATGACATGCAGTGGCTGAGAGTTTGAAGCTGATGGTTGGGTCTCCAGTGCTGCCTGCACACCTGACAGGCAGCTGTTAAACTGAGCAAAGGCAAGCTCTGGGAGTCACAATCTATGCATAAATGATAGGGGTGTCTGTGCAGAAGGTGCGAAAGAAGCTCTGACCCCCTCCCTCCCCTAAATCCCCCCCTTCCCAAATGAAATGCACAGTTCAGCCAGCTTCTTAACTACACTACACTCCTGCTACTGGCTGCCAAGAGGCTCAAAAAATCCACCTTCACTTTTCAGTCAGAAGAGGCAGAAGTGGATGTGAGAGAAAGAGAGACACAGAGAGACAGAGAGCCAAAGAGGGCAAGAGACTTGACTTTAAGCGACTCCTGTACTGACAACTCCATGCAGTTCGGAACCAGAACGACTGCGGCTGAACCAGGGTTCATGGGGACATGGCAAAACGCTGATACTAACCTTTTATTCAGAATGTCCCAACAGGTAAGTTACTTTCATTTTTTTTTAAAGAAACCTTGAATTGTTATGTGCACTTTTGCTTCTGCTATTTTTCCTTCTAAACAATTTAAAAATTTTTATCACTTCATAGCTGGGCTCTGTTTTGTCATAACTGTGTTACTGGAATGTGCAGGGTTACTTCATGGTTTCCCTAAGGGCTCCTTAAAAGAAAAAGGGGAAAGGGGACTGAAGTAAAAGAAAGGCATTTGTTGTAAAGTTTCCCAGCACAGCCTGGATCACGAGAAGATTTCATTTATTTCTTTGTTTTCTGTTAAAAATTAGAAAGAAAGAAAAAAGCCACCTCCCAACAAATGTATCTTTCTAGCTATATGAATCACTTCATCAAAGTGTCTGCTATCTCAGAGGAGGTTCTCCAAACAGTCATAAAATGTAGGGGCCCCTCCGAACAGCCCGCCTGACTTGCTGGGGCTGGAAGCAGCTCGGACTCCGACCTGAGGACTCGGCTGTGCAGGAATCTCTGCCAGCACCGAGGGTCGCCGGAGCAGGAGGCGGCGTGCGTGGCGGGCTGTGCCGGCGGTCCCAGCTCCTCCGCCCGCGGCCCGCCCGCCTCCGCGCTCGCCCCTGCGCTCCCCGCCAGCGAGAGCTCCGGCTCCGCCCGCCCGCCTGCCCGTCCGCCCGCCGCGGCCGGCCAGCGCACTCACTCTCGGGCGCAGCCTCGGCGTCCTCCCCAGAGCCGCTCCTCGGTCCGGGCCGCGCTGGCGGCGGCAGGGTGTGCTGGCTTTGCCGGGAGAGCTGAAGTGTTAGTGCGAGGCTACCGGCCTCTGATAATTAATCACTGGAGCCAGCGGCTCGTACCATGCGCTCGGTGATACGCACCCTGCGCGCCCGGCTCCTCTTGCACAATTGCTGGCTCTGCGGCTCCAAGGGGGAGCGAGGGTGAGAGGAAGCGAAGGGAAACAACCCAGAAACTTTCATCTTGGACTGTGCTCAAGCGAGGGAGGGAAGTTCCCTGGTGCCTCCCTCCTTCCTAGACGCGTCTTGCTTTTCAAAAGCCTACATCAAATCCACACAAAGCAAGAGTTAGTATATTATCATCCACACAGCACGAAAGTATTACTGACAAATATTTGGATTTTAAGCTAGATGGCGGTTAAGAAATTGATATTGTTCCACTCATGTAAAAAAATATATATATTTATTATATATTATATTATATATATTATATAATATATATATATATACACACACTGCAATTACTTTCTTAAAAACAAACAAGTTATTTTGTTTGTAGTAGTTCATGACAATTAAATACTTAATTGACTTAATTTAGGTTTTTAAAAGTATTCATAATGAAGGAAAGAAAACAATTTGCTAGGCTATAAACTACCAAAAGTTGACAAACACATCTGCAGAAAATCGTGCCCAGAGCCAGGCTTTTGTAGCATTTAGCTAGCGAACTGTTTTATTACACAATTCTAGACAGGATAAATGCATTTGAATAAGGTGTATTTTGACATATCCTGTAGAGGGACCCTGATTACTGCTGATACAGTAAGCTGGGGTTTAAATGCAATCAACATAAACCCAATAAGCAACTCTTTATGTGTAATTTCCCATTCTTACAAGTTAAGTTCATTTCCTCCCAGAGATATTCCTTGTCATTGCAGTGCTTTGAGAGGTGTGTTGTTGAGGCATCTCCTGTACCTGGGTGGCTCTCTTCCTGGTTGGAACACGAAGTGTGTTTCCACTGACCTTAGAACTAAATAACTTGTTCCATGCCTTAAAAATTAGATGTCATCTTTAGGGTTTTCAGTATTAGTGGAGGTTAGGGGTGAGTGAGTGTGTGTGTGTGTGTGTGTGTGTGTGTGTGTGTGTGTGTGTGTGTGTGTGTTTTGGAAGGGAAGATTGGTTTAGGTCTCCCTCTAGCTAGAAAAGAGTTAATCAAACCAGATAGAGATAATGATCAATTGATAAATGGCTATTGAACCACATAGATGGTGTTAGATTGCTGCTTTGGCACTAGCCCATTTCCAAGTAGATTTGAATCTAAGGAGACATTAAGTTGTGGAAAACATTTTAGTTAAAAAACAAAAACAAAAAGTAAATTATATAAATGATGGATCATAATTAGGAAAATAATATGAAGTCGCACAGAGAGAGAAACTTGTACAACTAAGCTATTGTGATATCTTTGATCCAGCTGTTTGACTTGGTGGTATATATAGATCTATTTTGTGTGTACCTGTGTGCATGTGTCATAGTGAATGCCAGTGGCTAGATACACAGAGTAGAAATATAGGGAAGTAATTTATGCATAATAGATGCTATATAAAACTATACTATTAATTATTCTATTTACTAAACAGTAGTACAATAATAGGAGAAAATCACAATTTTAAAAAAGTGTTGCAATTTAACTATATTTTATGTTTTCTTTGTTTTTTGGTTTTGATGTAGTTAGTGACTTCCTTCCCCCTCTTTTTCTGTCATGGTTACTAAATGTTTACCTCCTGTGCGTTTTGGGAAAGCATGTAAAAGAGGGTATGAGTTTACATGGTTTTTTTTTTCTCCTTCAGGATGGTATTTTAGTTTGTATAAATATTGTGTAAACTTAAATTCAATGTGTAAACTTAAAACAATGCGTAAATCTAAAAAATATATGTGCTGTATATGTTTAATATGTTTATTTTCCTTACCTATATAGTTCATCAGCAATGCTGATTCAGAGAGTGTGTGTGTGTGTGTGTGTGTGTATGTGTGTGTACGTGCTTGCATGTGCAAAGAAGACACATTACTTGAAATGATATCTCTTAAAGCCCACAGTTTCAAGGAATACTAGTTTCAATATATACATTAAGCCAGCTTTTTTCTCTTACTACAGGTAAAAGTTTGTCCAGTTTAATCAAATATGCAGAATTCTGTATATCTCATTGCTAAGGCATTAAAAAGGTTTTTCTATTATGATTATTTTAGTTTCTAAGAAAAAAAATGATTTAGCTCATGAAATGAATACATTTATTGGGTATATTTTTTATTTCAAAGTTTTCTGTAATCATATAAAGCTGTAAGATTTACCCGATCATTTCATTAAGTGTTAGAGAACACTGACTACCAGGCTTCAATACTGAGTTACAGAGAATTCACCAGCACTATTATTTAACTACAGCAGAACTTGTAGTAGGAAATATCTCATGAATAGTGAAATGTAATAATCCAGGTTTGTGTCTTCTATAGAGAAATTAGGAAGCAGGGATATAAAAATCTTTGTCTTTTGTATGAATGAAGTTGGATCTGTTTATACGTAAATCTTTCAGTCTGTCTAATACTAACAAAAAGATAACCCCAATATAAAGCCAACTTAGATTTGGTGTGGAATTAAGTATGTTCTAAAGTTCGAGATATGACAGTGTGACTGCATTTTTCTTCCTTTCTACGTTTTTCTCCCATATTCAATTTTTTCAAAAGAGAATTTTTTTTCTTTCCATACAGACGAATATTTGATAACCTTAGAGGGCATGACTCCTGACTTTTGTTAAGGGAGTTCTTCTTTGGGATACTTTGATCAGTGACAGGTCGAGAATGACCAGAAACCCTGTACTCATCTTCTCTGTTAATCTCCTCGAGTCCAGAATGATATTTTGCCCATGTAACCTCATGAAGTATTGTTAAAAGCAGAAAATAAAGCTGGCTTTTGAAATTGTTTCAAAAAATCAGGTTTAAAAAATGTTTTTTCTGCTTTTGGAAATGTCTTGTGTATTTGAGAGACGAGCAAATAAAATTCTTTGTAGGTACCTCAAGGGATGCAGTAGTCTAATATATTTTGAAATCTTTTCAGAAATGAAACCGTAACAGGTAAATGGCTATAGTTCACGTTTTTTTGCACATTTGCATTACTAGAGGCGTTTTCCTTTTATTGTTTGGTGAGGTATATTTAACCTTTTAAAATAAAATATAGATCCCTTAATAAGGTCTCTTTTCAGACATGAGTGAAATACTGAGTTAGAATTATAAATGACTCTGTGCATCATTATGTAGTAATTTAGGATTCACCCAATGATGTAACACAATTAACAACATAATTTCATTGTGAAACTGTGTCTTATTAAAGAACAACTGTCTGACATTCTCTTACAGTTGCTTTATTTAACTTCATGCAAATATTATTAGTAGTGACATTTTTCTATTGTGCATTAGATTCTCTCATTAGCATGATGTGTTAGTTATCACCAGAGAAATAATTTCCTAGATAGGTGAGGGGCAAACCAAGAAAGCTAAAAATTAAATCAACGATTTACATTAATACCAGAGCACCTGCTCACCAGAGATATGACAGGGTAAAGCAAACTTTCTTACTAATATAAAATCTAGCATGTTTCAGAGAAATGATAAATAGAATATATTGCAAGAAATATATAATAACATTGCTGGAATCCCTTTTAAAAGCATGTTCGATATGAATTTTTCTCCCAGTAGTCTCTTAGTTCTTTCTATTCATATAGGCAAACACAGTTTCATTTTGTTGAATCTATACTTTAAATTGGAAATGGTAGTTTTGTCTGACTTCTTACCCCTCTCCTCCAAATAATTTGAATGTTTATTCACTAACAACTTAAAAGGCACATTGACTGTTTTTCTTACAAGTTCGATGCCTGATTGTATATCGTGGTTTGATTCTTTTTTATAGCGTGTACAATATATTTTTATTCTAAACTCTAGCCCACTCATGTAGACATCCCTTTTAACATAGGATGTATATTCTTATTTAATCAGAGCCCTGAGTAAAGCAGTTGATAGTTAATGGTCTTTGAAAATGACTTTCACTGCCAGGCATCACCCCCTAGGTTTCTGCACTTTTCCCTCCTCCCTTTTTACTCCCCTTCTTCAGTTGCTGTGTTTTACTAAAGTCTTACTGAAAAAATGGATTAAATTGACCAAACGTATGGTTGAGATGCTAAAAAAAATATTTATATTCTATTAAAGAGGAATGTAATTTCAGCCTGTTGAATTAGTAGGCTGCTACCTCC